GTTGGCATAGAAACTGCCAGGGCTCTGCCACCACCTCCCGTTACACAATTCCCTTAAACCCCAGGGAAGGAGCTGCTGAGGAGGGGGAGCAGCTCCCGGGACAGCCTTTGCCCCAAACCAACTTCCCGCCAGCTCCCGGCACTGGGAGGGGTCACAGAGCCCCAGGGAGTGGTGCTGGTGCCCAGTGGCTCCGCTGCCTCCTGACAACAGGGAATCAGAGTCTATTTAAAGGTGCTGCCGCTTGCATAACGCCGGCTGTAATTCCTTCAGCCTCTTCCCTCGCTCCAGGGGCACTGGACAGTGGATGAAGGGTCTGGGTGGGCAGCGGTCCCAGCCAGGCAGATCCCATGGGATGGGGCAGGCGCTGGCAACGTCCCCCTAGGACAGGGCCTGTCCCTGTGGAGGGGAGCAGGGAATGGGCAGCGACAATCCCAGCACAGCATCCCCCTTCCCCCGGCTCCTGCACGGGGCCGTGATCCCACATTGCCACACAAGTCACGTTAAAGGCCACGGAGCTGGATCCGGCACCGAGCGGCGCGTCGGGAATACCACAGAGATCCTGCATCTGCTCCGGCAGGGCTGACACATCACCCACTCCTGGGAACGCTATGGGACCCGAATTCCCTGTCACTGTCACAGGGGCTGTGCCTGCAGGGGCAGGTGGGCTGTGGGGTTTGTCCAGTGGGGCCTCTGGAGGAGGAGCAGGGCCGTGCCAGGGCTGGGGGCTCTGGGGAGGCTCCAGGCACTGCGGGGGATGGCTGAGGAAGCAGCCTGAGGTTTGTTCATATTCTCCAGGGTTTAATTAACAACGAGCAGTGCTGCCTCCACACTCCTCTAACTCAACATCTGGCCAACTCAAACACAGCTGGACGAGCTCCGTGCTCCCACCCCCTGCCAGAGCCGAGCGGGTACAGGGAGTGGTAATTAAAGCCGGCAGACACGGCCCAGCTGCTTTCCCAGGGACAGGGAACCCCCGGCAGCTCCCCCAGCAGGACAGGCCGGGGGGGCTGAGCTGCTGCCCAGGGTCCAGCTGGCGTGGGCAGGAGGGGGCCAGAGGCATCCTGGTGATCCCATCAGCAGGGGAGACGCAATTCCAGAGCAAGGAGGGACCAGCTGGTGTCCGAGCACCAGCTGGCAGCTCAGGCACAGCCTGGGTGGGGTCTCATCCTGCACCCCCAGGGCTGAGCGGTGCTGGCCCGTGGCCCTGCTCTGCCAGGTGTCCCCCACATCCCTGGAGGCTGCCCAGGGGACGGGCTGGTCATGGCTCAGTTTGTCACCAGTTCCAGAGTAATTCCTGCAAAAACCCCCAGCTTGGTCTCACCACAAACCTAAGGTGTGAGGACAGCCCTTCCAAACCTCCTCCCCATCCTGGGATCCAGCCCCTTGCTCCTGCCTCCCAGGAGAGCCCTCCTCCCCTGAAGCTGCTTCTCCAGAGATCCCTGAGGGGATCTGCTCAACCCCTGCCCACAGGTGATAAGGGACAGGCAGGCACAGTGCTGTGACACAGGCAGGGGCTGCCCCACCTTTGCAGCAACAACAGAATCATGGAATATTCACAATTGAAAGGGACCCACGAGGATCATGAAGTCTGACTCCTGGCTCTGCACAGGACAACCCCAAAATCACACCTAGATACAGCAGAGGCTCTCAAAAATCCCTCCAGCTCACCTGTACCTGGCTCGGGGCTGTGCCAGGACTGTCACAGTGCTGCCAGTGCCATCCGAGCCTCCCTGGGCCATCCAGGCAAACAGGATTGTTTCTGTTACACACGGAGCCTGCTCTGAAATTCCTGCCCACATCTCTCCCAGGAGCAGGGAGTGGAGAGGTGAGGGTGGAGGAAAGCAATTCCTGCTCGTCCAAAACATTCACTGCAAAAACACGAGGCTGGAACAAGAGCTGGGGAAACCATTGGAACCAGTTTATTGTCACAGCACAGCACAGAGGTCACAGCCCACTCCCAGCTCTTCCTCCCAAGGAGACCCAGCACAAGCTGTTTGGGGCAGGGATTAGCAGAGGAAGCTGCAGCCAATCTGCTCCAAACTTTCCTGTTAGACCACCCAATGGCAGGAGCTGCATTAACCCCTTCAGCACCAGCCCTCCCTCTCTGCAGCTGCCCTGGGGATGGTTGGCTCACGTCTCTCCTGCTGCCAGGGCGTTCATGAGAAAGCAAACTGGAGCAGAGGCTCTGCAGTTCTCCTCCCCCCTCGTCCCTCTCCCCCCTCACCTGGGGTGATGCCAATCCCAACGGAACAGGGTTCTCCCGGAGCGCCGGCAGCGAGAGCCGCGCTCCCAGGCCAGATCCCCTGGAGACCATCCTGGGAGAGCCCAGCTCTCATTCCCAGGAATCCAAATTCATTAGGGTCATGTTAAACAACTCCACATCAGGCTGGCAACGGGGCTGCAACAGCCCCGAAGGGAAAACGCTGCCCAGAAATGAATCCAAGGCTCTCTCTGGTGGGAACAGGCTGCGTTGCAGCACAGCCAGGACTGAGCAGAGAACACAAACCACCGGAGCAGAGCAGGACACAGCCTCTCCTCGGGAGGGCTGGGAGCAGGGTCTGGCTGTTCCAGCCCTGGCTGGGGTGACAGCACAGGCTCTGGGGTCCCCCAAACCCCCGCCCAGCCCCACAGACAGCAGGTGGTTTGCCAGCGCTGCACTGTTGGTAAGCACGAGGGCTCTGGGCCCGGGGTTATTGGGGAACATTAATCAGGAGAGAGGGATTGGAAACAGGGTGGCTCCAAGGTACTCACTGCCTTGAGGACACAAGGAGGACGAGGATGCCCCAGCCAGTCTTTGGAACATAATGGACAGGACACGGAGAACACAACTCAGCCCAGAGCTGCTGCTGGCCCAGCACCACAGGGGAGCAGCAGAGTCTCTGGGATCACTTGTTGTCTAGCACCAGATCCCACAACCCAACGACAGCCTCCAAAAGTCTCCAAGGACCCTCCGGTCCTTCTTCTGCTGTCACAAAAATGCAGATTAAGGGTCGTGGCTTCAAGAATGTAATAAAGATCTGCAGTGTCCTGAAGAGCATCTGCAAGCTGGCAGGTGAGTTTGCTTCCAAGAGCAGCTAAATCTGCCTGCCACCTGGCCAGGCAGTGTTCCAGACCCTTCATCATCCGTGTGACCTGGTGTCACACCCCTCCACACCAGGCTCTGACTGTCCTCCGCAGGGTGGGCCCCAGGGGATGGGGCTCCCTCGAGCTACGCCTGCAGCAGAGTCTTTGTTGTGCTGATCTGTGATCTGCTGATCTGTGAAGCTTCACCCCTCGTGTCTGGTACAGCACGAGCCTCACGTTCATCCCAGCCTGACCTTCCCGTCTCTGACCCGCGAGGAATCGTCGACAGCGGGAGCAGAGTCCATCTCAGTCCATCTGAATGTCACAGAGGTGAACTCCTGACGATGGAGCAGAGCCAACGAGGCAGGAATCCTGGCTCTCAACACTGGCAGAAGGCTCCTTGCTGGCATTTGAAGAGATTCCTGCCAGCCCAGGTCTCACTCAGCACCGCGGGGCTCCCAGAGCAGGATCTGAACCGTGACCAAGGCCAGCTCCTCACTCACACGAGATCAGGCTCTTCACCGACCAGAACCGCTGCCAGCAAGTGCAGAGCCAAGCAAACAGGCTGAACTTGGCCCAAATCAAACACCCTCAAGCTGGTTTTACACAAGACAGAACCGTTTCCAGCCCGTAGCACGACATGTCGCTGCTGCAGGAGCTCAGCCCAACCTACAGCAGGCCAAGGGACACAGCAGCCCATCCACAGACAGAATCAGGAGAGGAAAAGTGAAGGGACAGAGAGGGACAGAGACAACAGCGTGGTCTGGAGGGCTTGTGCTCGCCCAGCCCAAGCCCAGCACAAACACCATCACTCCGAGGGTGGGATTTCCTGGGATTTCTGTCAGAGCAAAGGCAGATTGGCCACCAAAATCAAACCTACAGATTAAAATTTGGCTTTGGAAGTTTTAGAGTTGCTGTTTAATCCCGAGACAGCGCAGCTGAGTGAGTTTAGAATTTAAGTTACAAAAAAAAGAAAGCACTAGAAAATAATCTTGATACAAGAGCGATAATCGGCCGGGGCTCCCCACCCTGAGCAGGGAATCCCGCTCCACAATCCACCCAGCACAGCTGGGATGCTGCCAAGGCATTGCCTGTTCCCAGCACACTCTGGGAGGGCAAACTGTCCTCGGTAAAGTTTCGTGGGGGAATCCCCAGCTCTGGGAGTTAAGATGCTGCCACCAGCTCTGGCTTTGGCCTGTTCTTGACGGGTGACGCTTCTGTGGAAGGAAAAGAAACTTGTTACAGAAACAGAGAATGTAAATACCCTGCAGCCATCTCCTGAGGAGGATCCAGGGCTCAGAGTCCATTCTGCAGAGCAGCAAACGCTTGCACAGCACCTGAACTAAGAGAAGTTGGTTATAAACAATCCCACATTCCCACTGTGGCCCTTTCCCACAGCACAGTTTCAGAGCACACCCAATCCAGGGAGCCACCAGCCCAATGACACAGATCCAGGGCAGGAGCCTTTTTTGGAGCGCAGGGCTACGTCCAGCTCTTCTCCTGACCCCCTGGATCTGGTACGACGAGACTCAGACAGCTGCAGCCACAGGGCCAGGCTGTGTTTTGCTTGGCTCCTGCCAGCACACAGCGATGACACCTGAGCCCTGTTTACGAGTAAACAAGCACCAAAGAAGCCAGCCCCATTCCCCACATCCCAGACTGCTCCTGGGCACATTTCACACGGAGGAAATGGCTTCTTCCAGCTCCTGTTTGCACAAGCAGAGAGGCCCAGCTTCTGCGAGTGATGGCTCGGGGTTCTGCTGCCCCAGGAGAAGAGTCATCAGTCTGAGTGTTCAGCATCTCAGCATGGACTGACACCTGTGTGAGCTCCTTCCTCGCCAGGCAGAGCCACCAGAGCCCGTCTGGTCACCTCCTTCGTGGGCTCTCTCCCACTTCCATCTGAATTCCCACAAAACTCATCCACTGAGGTTTTGCACCATTCAGGGGCAGACTCTCCTGTAGCATCAGGTGTGTGCAGCTCGTGCTCCAACAGTCCTGGAGCTGTGGGACCGCAGTGATCCTCACCCAGCTGCTTCCAAATCCCCGGGACACGAGCTGAGAAGAGCTATGAGTCCTCAGAAGCCTCAGTGAGATCCAGTGTCGTGCAGGGTGAATCCACCATCCACAAAACAACTGTCCCTGCCTTGCCATGACCTGCAGGGGACCAGTCTGAGTCCTGTGGGAGAGTCTTGCCTGGGACAAGCAGGGCAGGAATTCCTCATGGAGCTCCACAATGCAACAAGGTGTCTCGAGGCAGGTGGTGCCTCAGAGCAGGTACAGAGCGTGACAAGCACAGTAGATGTCACAGAGGGAAACTCCTGGAGGGAAGGACCCGATGCCAACGGAACAGGGACCGGAGCCTCGGGTCCTGTTGGGGTGAGGGCTCAGCTGGACCTGCCAGCACAACGAGGGGGCAGCTGGCCCAGCCACCTGAACAGGGCTCACACCAGGGAGCTGGGACTCCTTCCCCTTTCCTGGGACAACACTTACACTGGGAGAGGGTCCCAGACTACTGTGTGGAAGCCAAAGCTGCAGAGAGAGCATACCTGGGATCTTCTCTGGGAGCGGCTCCAAAGGAACTTCTGGAAGCTCCAACTGTTCCTGCAAGGATGTGAAAGACATGTGACACATCTGGCAGTGGTCACAGCACCTCCTTTACCCCACTTTATCTCCCATTACAACCAACTTCCTGAAAGTGTGGATTAGAATCACAAGAACACCAATCCTACCTGAGTAATAGTATTTAACTCTTCTAGAATGGCATCTTCATCCTCCTCAGTCAGGCTGCCAGCCAGGAGCTCGTCTATTTGCTGTGGGAGAGAAGGAAAGAGAGTTAATTCTCACTCTGATGGCCCTTAAATAATAGGGCTGGGAACACAGTGCACATCCAAGGAGCTCTGCAGAGCAGGCAGAGTCTGCTCCCAGCTCCTCACACAGCCATACATACCCTCTGGTACTCCACAGCATCCTGGGTTTCTCCTATTATTCTTTCTACTTCTTCTATGGACATCACCTGAAGGGAAGAGCCAAAGCCCAGGTGTGGGTGAGGCCTGCAGGGAGGCAGCTCCAGCCAGGCCCTGCTGGGCAAAGGTGCTGAGCTGCCCCAGCCCCACGTACCTGGTGCATCTTGTTCAGACACTCGTTGCCCACTTTCAGGCCCTCAATGACCTTCATTTCAATCTGGGTGAATTCAATGTCCTGGACCTGGAATGGAAAGCAGAAAGGGAAGACCCTGTCACACCTGGGCCAGGCACTGGCACAGGCTGCTCAGGGCAGGGGGCAGTTCCCACTCCTGGGGGAATTTAACAGCCCTGTGGATGTGGCACTTGGGGACACTGGTGGCCTTGGCAGTGCTGGGGAACAGTTGGGCTCGATGGTCTCAGGAGGCTTTTCCAGCCAAGGTCATTCCACGGTTCTGTGGTTCCCACCTGCTGGGACCCCAGAGAAGCCGCAAGGAGGAATCAGTTGAGCCCTTTCTGTACTGGACAGAGGATTAGCTACACCAGCAGTAAAAATTATCCACACAAAGAGCTCGGCACAGGCAGCTCCACGAGCACGTCCAGCAGCCCTTGAACTGATTTCACCTCATTTTCCAGCTGCCAGTCTCAGCTGAGGCCTCCCCAAACCCCAACACGTCCAGTTCTGAAATGACAGTTCCGAGACAAGCCCAAGGAAGTCTCCAGTGCAGCCACTCACACTGTGAGCAATGTTTCAGTAATTCACAAGACACGTGTTTAACGTGTACCCTGCCCTGCAGATTCCAAACACACACACAGCCCTCTGTCTCTGTGAGGAACAGTCACGCCACACGTACAGTTTAGGAGACATCTGCCCTTGGACAGAGGGCTAAACCCCTGCCAGGACTGGCAGCTGAGATGGAATTCCAGAGGATCCAGGGGAATGCCCACCCAGGAGCACAGACCAAGGCCCTGGCTCACCATCCGCTCCAGGTTGCTGATCTGGTTCTCTGTTTTATCCAGGAGTTGCTCCTGGTATCGTTTCTTCTTCAGCAGCAGCATGGCCTTTCTGAGGGACACAGAGGGAGGAAAACTCAGCACAGGGGAAACCAAATAAAGGCTGAAAGAACCCCAACAAAAAACCCACGCTTGTTCTGTGCAACTTAAGCCACGTGCAGTGTAACTGGGCTGCTCCTGGGAAGAGCAAGGATGAGCAAACTGGGTACTGGGGAGAAATTCCGGACTGGGAGGGTGGGCAAGCCCTGGCACAGGTTGCCCAGAGAAGCTGCCCCACCCCTGGGAGTGTCCAAGGCCAGGTTGGACGGGGCTTGGAGCAACCTGGGCTGGTGGAAGGTGTCCCTGCCCAGGGCAGGGGTGGAAATAGATGAGCTTTAAGGCCTCTCCCAACCCAACCCAACCCATTCCATGATTTTATGATAAAACATCACTCCAGGGAGGTTTCCTTCCCAGGGACACCCTGGACTCGGCACTGACGCTTCCTCGGCCCTCGCCCCCCCCCCCCCAGGTGACCCTTCCCCCCTCACTCTTTCTTGCCATCCTTGAGCAGCTGCCGGGCCAGCGCCCGCTCCCGCTCCAGGCCCAGGCTCAGCCTCTTCTGGTACTGCCGCAGCTTGTCCCGCTGCTGCTTCAGTTGCTGCAGAGGAGAGGGGCGGACAGAGGGACGGACACGGTCACAGCTCGAGCCCTGGCGCCTCCAGCTGCCCCCGAACCAGCGCCGGCCCCGCCGCCCTCACACCCGGGCTCTCCCCGGCGGCACCAGCACGGCCCGGTCCCGCCCGTCCCCGTCCCCCCTCACCAGCACGGCCCGGTCCCGCCCGTCCCCGTCCCCCCTCACCAGCACGGCCCGGTCCCGCCCGTCCCCGTCCCCCCTCACCAGCACGGCCCGGTCCTGCTCCGTGACGCGGCTCCGCCGTTTCCGCCCGAACAGGTTCCCCATGGCCGCTCCAGCCCCGGCCCGGCCCGGCCCGCCCCCGACGGCGGCCGCGCAGGGCCCGGCCCCGCACAACGCGCAGCGCCGGCGGAGCGGAGGCGCTGGGGGGCGCTGTGGGAACGGCGGGAATGGGGTACGGGGATATGGGATAGGGGGATATGGGATAGAGGGAACGGGGATATGGGATAGGGGGATATGGGATAGAGGGAACGGGGATATGGGATACGGGGATATGGGATAGAGGATACGGGGATATGGGAGACGGGGATATGGGAGACGGGGATATGGGATAGAGGGAACGGGGATACAGGGAATGGAGGGGATATAGGCGATAGAGGATCTATAGGAGATGTGGAACATACAGAATAGCAGGTATAGGGAATGGGGTGCTGGAGGGGCAACACTGAATCCTTTCATAGAATCATGGAATTGCTCAGGTTGGAAAAGCCCTCTGAGACCATCACGTCCAAATGATCCCCCAGCACAGGCAAGGCCACCACTGCCCCATGTCCCAAGTGCCACATCCACACTGCTGTTAAACCCCTCCAGGAACGGTCACTCCACCCCTGCCCTGGGCAGCTGTGCCAGGGCCTTCAGGGGAGGAATTTTTCCCTCATATCCAATCCAGCTCATTTCTGAGCTGCAGCCAGCACTCCAGAGCTGGATTTGGGCTCTGCAGAGCTGCACGGCAGGATCACCCTGTTCCTGCTGCTCCTGGGCTGGGACAAGTGTCTGTCTCCCAATCCCTCCCCCTGTAACCAGCCTCTTCCATGGGGAAAACACCTGGAGCCCAGCACCCCAAATCCAAGTCAGCTCCTTCCTGGGTCACAGCTGCCCTTGCCCCCCTCCTGCCCCAGGAAAGGCTCCTCACACCAGGAAGTATTTCTGCATTTATTTTTTATTAACCATTTATTTGTCTGTAATTGTTTTACTCTCACATTACAATCGTGTGGGGTTTTTTATATAATTTTTTTTTTTAAATTTTATTTTTGTAAAATAAATAGAGATAAGTGAACTTTTAAGGTAGGACACTCTCCAGATCCTTGGTTAAACTCCATGATTGAATCTCTGCATCAGACCTGTGGAAGCACAGCCCACACGCTCAGGAGAAAGCTCGAGTTCCTTAAAATCCCACATCCTGGATGTGGGGCTGCACCGGAGCCCAGCAGGAGCAGCGGCTCCCACCACGCACCTTCCCCTTTCGCCAGGTATTCCCTGTTCCTTTGACAAATACACTGATAGAAGTTAAAAATCTACTGTTTTTTAAGCTGTGAATGTTAATGGGTTACGTGTGATCCCAAACTCTGGCTCCCCCCTGGAGGGGACTCGTCCCGCCGGGGCCGCGCCGGAGCGGGGCGGGAAGAGACACAGCTCTGTTAGACCATAATTAACTTTGGGTAATTTAAAAGTGGATTTTTAGGTAGTTTTTAAGTTTAAAGCCTTTGATTCATCGTCCTGTGACGTGGCCTTTGGCCTCCCTGACACGGGGGACGGTGCTCGGTGAGGACCCGGCGCCCGGCCCTGGTTCGAGGAGCCTCTCCCGAGCCCGAGTCCTGCCGTGTGTGTGGCACCTCGGGATGGCCACCAGGCCACCTCCCTGTCCCTGGCCCAGGTGCCTCAGCACACACAGGAACACGAGACAGGCAGAAGCAGCAGTGACAGGTCAGACACACCACAAGGGGTGTGGCAGAGGTGAAGTCACCCTCAGCACAGGGACAAAAGGTTTCTCACCCCTTCCCTCACCAGTATTTCCTTCACCATGGCTGGCTGTTTGCTGGGAGCCTGCAGATCCCATGAGACTGGAAGAAAACCTTGGGAATTTCCGGACCTCACAGGTTGCCACAGTCAGTTTTGCACAGAGCAAGTTCTGCTCTCAGCCAGGGACATCCCACCTCTGGAAGCAATCCCGTCCTTTGGCTTTGCCTCCCCCTTCCCACACCCATTTCCAGACCCTGCACGGATCCCAAGGGACGAAAACATTCATTATTGAGACATGGAAGGTGTGGAAGACGGAGCAGGCTTTCCCTGGGGAGCTGGGGCAAAGGTGCTGTGCTCAAAGCAGGTGACCTGCTGTCTTCCCCTCCTCAGTGATTCTCTCGTGCTCAGCCCAGGTGGTTCCACGCCCAGCTCCACAGGGACAGAGGAGCCCCAGCCGTGGCCACACCGTGTGTGCAGCTGCAAGTGTCCAGACCCTCAGTCCCACCCAGTGACCATCAGCTCACAGACAGGCCCTGGAGCCTCCCTCGCTGCCTGGGCACAGCTCCCAGGGGACCAGGCGTGTCTGTGGAGCTCCCTGTGGGCAGAAGGACAGTGGCAGCAGGAGGGACAGTGCCAAGGTGTCCCAGACTCCCCACCATCAGCGTGGGCTTGGCGGAATGTGGTGACACGAGTGACTCGCTCCAGGCTTGGTGGGACGTTGGAGATCTTCGTTCTCTTCCTTCCCTCTTCTTCCTCATGTGCAGCCTTACGGTGTGGGGCATCCTGCCCTGCTCTTGTCATCTCCTTGAGCCTCTTCCCCCAGGATTCCAGCCTCCTCAGGCCAGCAGGTCACCTTCTGTCCTTGCTTCCAGTGGAGAGGACGCTGCAGGGAGGGAGGAGAAGGTTCATGCAGAGGAGACACTTCTCTGCCTCCCTTGCCCTGTTCAGCAGTGCAGGAGCAGGTACATCCCATGCAGGCAGACAGCTCGGGTCTCGCTGCCCTGTCCCAGGAATTCTGTTTGGCACAGGGTTGGCAGCAGTGGGAGGGTCCCGTGGAGCTGTAGGTAAGTCCTGACTTAGTCCTTGGAGCAACCTACGCTCCAGCAAAACAAGGAACAAAGACTAAAACAAGACCCTTCTCAAGGGTGTTGCCTCATCCAAGTCCTTCCAAGCTCAGGAGCCGTGTTTCTGACAGAGAAGCCAACCACTGGAAACAAAAATAAATGTTCCTTTTCTGTAGCTTTTAGAGGATATAGCTGGAAAACGAAACAAAACAAAAAACAAAAAAAGGAGATTGTCTCTTCCCCTTGTCAAACCCATCAGTAGCTAAGTCAGAAAAACAAATGTTCAAGTTATGGGGTGCAGCAGCAGCCAACACGAAACATTCAAGTCGATGATTTCACTATGTACAGGGAGGCCCCGCCCCGGACCCAGCTCCGCCGTTATCTGATCCGCTTCTCCACCGAGTACACCGAGATGTAGTAGTCATTGCTCCCGACGGCCAGGTGGGGCTGTGGGCAGAGCACGACACGGTCACCACATCAGCCAGGCTGGAAAAGCCCTCCCAGCCCATGGATCCCCTCTGTGCCCCATCCCCACCTTGTCCCCCAGCCCAGAGCACTGAGACCTTCCTGGGACACCTCCAGGGCTGGGCACTCCAACCCTCCCTGGGCAGCCCCTGCCAGGGCCTGACCACCCTTTCCAGGGAGAAATTCCTCCTGATGTCCAACCTGTGCTCCCCTGGCACAGCTGGAGGCTGTTCCCTCTCCTCCTGGCCCTGTTCCCTGGGAGCTCCCTCCTCCTGTCAGGGATTGCAGAGCCAGAAGGTCCCCCCTGAGCCTCCTTTCCTCCAGGCTGAGACCCCCCAGCTCCCTCAGCCCCCCCTCCTGTGAGTGCCTCTCCAAAGTCCCAGGTGTGGAGCAGTGACAGGCGCAGGTAAGGGTGACATTCCGGCTGCTCCAGCACTGAGTGCGTCTGCTCTGACGCATTCCTGCAGCACCCACACTCCCAGCTACTTATAGGCCCATTTCAGCCACAGGGAAAAATTATGGGGACTATTAGCTGCCAACTGCCACCATCATTTCTCTAAATGGCTGCAAATCTGCTCGTTAAGAGCCGATTCCTGGGCTGAAAGGAAGCATTTCCTGCAGTGAGGGGCGTGGGACAGGCCGGGCCAGGGAGCCCCGGGCTGGACAGGGCTTTGCTTTGCTTATTTTAAGAGCAAACCCATTTCAGGTGATTTCCCCCACTTCTTCCCCCATTCCCGAAATCGCTCTGGGCTTCCCGCAAAGAGGCTTTTCAGAACTGAGATGATCTTTCCTTCACCCCTCTACCTTCAGGATGTCAAACACACATCCCTCAGGCAGGAAAACCACCTTCCCCCTCCTTCTCACACCAAACCCTCACAGGGTCACACAGCTCCTCCCTCCCCTCCTCCAGGCCCTTGATCTTTCCCACTGCTCTTCTATTACATATTAAATATTTGTGTGCTGATCTGCAGGTTTCTAAAACAACTGTTTTAACTCCTTCCTGCTTTCCCATCCATTCATGTTGTTCTCTCGGGTTTTCCATCTCGTTCATTTCCTCTCATCCCTGGGGGAGCAAAGTCCACCACGCAGATGGGACCGCCCTCCTACTTGAGCAGCAACCAGATTCTCCCTCTAACTACTGTGACATATTCCTAATTTCCTTTTGTTCTGATTCATTCCAGGCTTTATCAGCTCGTGCCTCTAATTTTTGCAGCTCTCCCATTTTCCTGACGTGCAGTTTTTTTCCTGCACAGCATCAGCTTTATGTAAAACGGTGCGAGAGCAGCCCCAGAGACCCAGGGTGAGACTCGTCTGCAGAGCCCAGGCAGGGAGTAGAGAGGCACACAAAATTTGGGAGTGTGAGCCCTCCCCCAGGGACACTGAGAGGTGCCAACCCCCAAACCCGGGCAGAGGACACAGACCCAGTGAGGGTGGAACGCCAGGCAGCTGATGGCTCCCACCCTTTGTCCCATAAAACCATCGTAGTATTTGATGTTGTTGATCAGCTCCCCGTTCCCGTTGTAGATCGCAGTGAACTGATTCATGGAGCCACTGGAAGGGAATGGAGAGGAAACACAGAGTCACTGGGAATGCTGGGTAGGGACAATACTGCTGCCTGGCAGAGCTGTGTGTCACACCAGCGTGCAGAGAGTTCTGGAACACACAGGGCCCCAGGAATGATGTGTGTGGGGGCAGATCGTCCTCTCCAGGGTCCCAGGACTTACCAGGCGAAGAGGTTGGCCTGGGGGTGGATGTCGAGGGCCGTGAGCCCCTTGACGATCTGCAGGACCTTCATGGACTCGGACATGC